AAAGATCCACAAACAAAAGGAATCATTTGCAGCGGTGTTCGTATAGCTTTCTGTGATCTGCCGTACATTGATGACCATATCAGTGCAGGAGCGACCTCTGCGGAATCCACATTGCGTGTCGGGCAAGAGGTTTTCGGCTAGTTTCTGTAGCTTTCGCTAGATTAGTGAAGCAACAGTCTTCCCGACGACATCCAGCAGTGCGATCCCCTGCCAGGTGTCACACAAGGCAAGGTTTCCCTTCTTGGAGATAGGGAGCAGGTTGCAATCTCGCCAGTCCTGTTGAAACCAGGTGAAGAGCCCAGCTGTGTCTGCTCTGCCCGCACTATGTCGCTGGGCAGAAACCTGGCTGAAACCGACCACATCTGATGGAGAAATGCATATCCCAAACTACAAGATGTTCAGCAAAGATCGTTTAGTGTTCAGTGTTGCATGGAGGTGGTTGTTCTGGAATATTCCCAGCTTGTGGTGAATCTTGCATGACCTTTCATTGTACTCAGGTTTCATTCCTTTTATTCTAGTGCATGCTGCTGGCGCCTGATGTATTGACTATTGTTACCGCAGGCCAGTCTCAACCTTTGCATTGTCTGAGATTCAAGTAGCGTATCGTTTGATGCATGTGCTGTCTCCATGCTATCTAGTCGTAATATATTCACTCGTCTTTGCATTTGTGCACAGTCCTGTGGATACTCGCAGGCCCTGTGGATACTCGCAGGCTGCGATTGCGCTCTCGCTTTGGTCATTCTAGAATGTATACTTCCATGCCTTTGAAGTTTGTTAGTTGTTAGTTTTGAACTGTAGGAAGCAGTTTACAGTTTTGGTTCTTGCAGTTTTATCTCAGAGGAGAAAGTTCTTGGTCTCATACTGTTACGAGTTGCTGTTGTATCTGGTTGAACGCATGCCGGGGCAACAGAGGGCAGCATGAGTAGCCATAGTGGTCCTATTCGAGCCGGATCTCAGAGCCAGATCCAAGAAGTCCTGCGCGACGACGAGCAAGTCCCAGGCGCTGAGTGTAGACGGAGCTCGCGGTCTACCAAAGGGAGACCGCCGAGCAGATACGGGTTTGATAACTGGAGTGACGTTCCGGACAGCGTGAGCTCTGCAGGACATGCGCCCTCGAAAGTTTCAGGAACTGCTGCGTCGCAGGCGTCACTTCGTGCAGAGATGCTTCGTGTAGAACTTGAGGCTGCAAGGCAAATCGCTGAGCTGGAGGAGGAAGCCGAGACACGCAAGTTGGCTCGTGAGACAAGTTTGGTGCAGAAGGAACTGGAGGTTCGAAGAGCCGAGGCTGAATCTGCAGCTGCACTACGATCCGGGTCAGGGAGCAAAGTGTCGTCTCGCAAATCAGAGACTAGAAACGCTGCATCCAGTGGCAGGGCAATATTGACTGCCAAGAGTCTTGCTGAGCACGACAAGTTGGCCGGACCTGGTCGAAAATTCGTATTACCACCGCGTGAGCACTTCAGAACGATGAGTGATGTCGGTGGAGTGAACGGACAACGCGACCCCGGCAAGCCAAGGAGTTTGCAAGGTACGTTTCGTACTGTGAATGCGCCCACACAACCTGAGGCTGTATTAGGTGTGGCGGAAGACAGCCCAGCTCAGTCAAGTACATGTAGTGTCAATGCGTTTGGCGTGCCTGCCCTGGGGCCAGTGGCGCAAGCATTCATGCGCGCGCCCGCTCAAAAGTCTGTGACCAGTACAGTGCTGTCAGTAGTGCCAGCCAAGAAGTCAATGGCCAGTGGTGCGCCTGTGGCTGTAGGACGTACTACAGTGTCCATACAGGCAGCTAGTAATGCAGTGCCTGTACAGCCAGCAATACGCAGTGCAGCAGTACAATCAAGACTGCCTGGCAGTAACAAGAAGGCAGTATCAATGCTGAATGCAACACCACCATGGCATACACCACAGAAGCATACAGCAGTGGCCAAACAGCAGCAACCAACACCAGTGGCAGTGCAAGAACACTCCAAGCAGGTGCTAAACCCGCAAGCAGAGTCCTTCATGCCCTATCCACCTCAACTGCAGACACTACACCCTGCTAGTTTCAGCTTTCACGTGAAGCCACTGGAGCTACCAAAGTTCTCTGGCAAGACTAGTGACTACGACCGGTGGAAGCAGAACTTTCGCCGCGTTGTTGACGAAGATCCACTAACGACTGAAGCGTACAAACTTGCACAACTGCGTGAGTGTCTCATGCATGGCACGGCCAGCGACCTTGTTGATGGCGTGCTTGACGGTCCAGGAGCCTACCACACCATCCTTAGGGAGCTAGATGCATGGTATGGCGGCGACAATCGCACTGTTGAGCGCCAAGAGAAGGAGATTTTGCAGTGGCCGAAGCTAAAAGAGTCAGACGACAACTTTGCCAAGTTTGTCCTCAGACTCCGGACGATGCTCATGAATATGGAGATGTGTGCAGTAACACCGGGCCGTGAGTTGTACCTATCGGTTACGCAGAAGTTGCCGAAATCGCTGTTGCTTAGGTACATGGAGAAGTATGACGATGCTGACTGTGATATTTACCAGCTAACACAGTGGCTCCTCAGACGCGTCAACACACTACGCCGTGCCGATGAACGACTCCGGTCGACAGAAGTCACTGCCTCAGCACCAGCACCAGCAAGATCATGGTCGAAGCAGAGTGCTACAAAGTCTGAACGAACATTTGTGGCAACTAGCAAGGATGCAGGTGCCGACAGAAGCTGCCCCTCGTGTGGCAAGGCGCATCAGCTCCACCGCTGCCCCGATTTCATTAAGATGGAGGCCAGGGACCGATGGAAAGTCATCAAGTCCAAGCCAGATGTCTGCGCCCTATGCTTCGGTCTCAATCATCGCGCAAAGACTTGTACCAGGCAACCCTGTTCAAAGTGCAGCCGCACGCATCATGACATGCTACACTACAACATCCGACGCTCGGATTCCGCTGCAGACCCATCAAATGCCGCAATCAAGGCCAACGCAGCTTCGGCCAGCAGTGGCGGTCCTGCCAAGATTGCTACAACACATTGCGCAAGTCATCAGCCAGAGATTGACAGTGGCGAGTCATTCATGGTTGTGCCTGTTGTATTCCGACACAATGGTGTGAGCCTCCAAGGTAATGCACTCCTGGACCCAGCATCGTCCACGAGTTATGTCCAGCAGTCCGTGGCAACAGCCCTCAATGTGCGTGGACCCAAGCGGCAGCTCGTCACTTCCGGAGTAGGCGGCAAGCAGACCGCAGCAAGACGTGAGCATGTACAGATCCAAGTGGCGGCTCTGGGCGACAAGACCATGAACAAGCTTGAAGCTTGGGTTCTGCCCACCGTCACCGTGCCATTACCGGCAGTGAACTGGAATCAGCACAAGAGCAGCTGGCCGCATCTCAGTGATATTGACTTCCCATCCATCAAGGGCAGTCAGATCGACGCGCTTATCGGCCTGAATGCCATCGAGCTTCATGCTACTCTAGAAGAACGGCGAGCAGAAACAGCAAGAGCGCCCATTGCTCGACGAACTCCTCTCGGGTGGGTGTGCATTGGTACAGGAGTCGACACCACTCGTGCAATCACAGCTACTACACCAGCTACTGACACAGTGCTAACTGATGGGCTGACCGAGCTAGTAGAGAAGTTCTGGCGAGATGAGTCGGCGGGCACAGATAACCCACTAGAGGAGACGCCTTCACCCGATGACAGAAGAGCCGAGGAGCTCACGAGCCAATCAATCAGCTGCAACGGCAACCGGGTAACTGTCCGAATCCCATGGGTCAATGACAGCGGTAAGCCACGTGTCAGGTCCAACAGAGCTCAGGCTGAGCAGCGGCTCCGCAGTCTACAACGGTCGCTACAGTCACGGCCAGCCGTGAAGCAGCAGTACTCTGACGTTATGCAGAAACACATTGCCAAGGGTTATGTGAGACGCGTGGACCCGGATGAGATAGCCAAAGACGGCAACGACCAGTGGTACCTACCCCATTTCCCGGTAGTACGCTCAGATAAATCCACGTCAAAAGTGAGAATAGTATTTGACGGTGCAGCCCGCTGGGATGGACACTCCATCAACGATGAGATGTTTACAGGTCCTGCACTTCAAAACGACATGACCAGTGTGTTGATCCGATTCTCACTGGAACCAGTTGCGCTTGTTGGTGATGTGTCGGAGATGTTCCTCCAAGTCAAACTGGCGGAACGTGACCAGCGCTATCATCGCTTTCTGTGGTATGATGACAATGGCCAAGTGCAGGTGTATCAGTTCACCCGTGTGCTCTTCGGCGCTAAGGCGTCACCGTATCTGGCAGGACGAGCGGTGAAAGAGGTCATCAAGCACCACGGTGATGAGTACGACTCTGACGTCGTGCAGTGCCTAAGCAAAGACCTCTACGTTGACGACATGCTGTGATCACTACCATCCACACAGCGTGCCATCCAGGCCAGAGAGCAAACGCAGCAGCTACTTGCCAAGGGCGGTTTTCACATGCGGAAATGGCTGTCGAACAAAGCTGAAGTGATGAACACCATACCAGAGGAAGATAGGTCACCTGATGTCGTCCGAGATGTGGACAGTGACACCAGCCTCCCAACTGTCAAGACTCTCGGCGTCAGTTGGAACGCCGAGAAGGATGCCTTCACCTTCCAGCATCAAATGAAGGACATCACGACATTCACCCGACGCTCTGTGTTGCGCGGCCTGGCCTCCATATTCGATCCGCGTGGCCTGATCTCGCCATACGTCATCACGGCTAAGGTACTCCTGCAGGACGCCTGGTTGCTGGGACAGGGATGGGACGACCTGCTGCCAAAGGAACAAGTCGTCAAGTGGCGGGGTTGGTTCCAAGGCCTCCCAGACCTGAGTAACCTGGAGATCAGCCGCTGTTTCAAGGATCCACAACAGCCATCCGAAGACGCCAGTCTTTCCGTGCACTGCTCCGACGCTCCGACGCCTCAGCCTCAGATCGGGCGATAGCAGCCGCTGTGTATGTCAGAGCCAGCTACCCAGACGGTACCACCCGAATAACGCTAGCGATGTCGAAAGCGAAGCCGGCACCAGTGAGGCGACAGACGATCCCGCAGCTTGAACTGAGAGCAGCTGTGCTTGGCGTTCGCGTTAGTCATCTCGTCGCTGAATCCATCGGTATCCCAGTGTCAGCTCACACATTTTGGACGGACTCGATGAACGTCTTGGGCTGGGTCCAAAGCCACAGCCGGCGCTACAAAGTGGACATTGGCAACCGAATCTCTGAGCTCCAGACCTCAACGAGAGCACACCAGTGGCGACATGTTCCCGGAAAGAACAACCCTGCAGACAAAGGTACTCGTGGTTTGTCTGCTGCATTACTGTGCCGTGACGCAGTGTGGTGGTCCGGTCCACAGTTTCTTCGCCAGCAGCCAGATGAGTGGCCTCAGATGAAGGAAGTCAGCACATCCTCGCTGCCTGGTCAGCTCAAGACGGCGCTAGTTGCAGTCGTCCCTCCACCCTCCGAGATCCTGGGTCGCTTTAGCACATGGTCGCGACTGGTACGCGTGACAGCATGGTGCAAGCGATTTGTGGCAAACTGTCGGCAGGCAGTCAGTGACAGCAAGTCCACGAAGGGGGATGCCGCATCGGACAGCCAGTCCAGCACGCCAGTGAGAGTGCCAGTACAGCTTGGCGGCACCCGCTCCATCAGTGTTCCAGTTCTCAGCACTGACGAAGTATCAGTAGCAGAGCGGCACTGGATTGCAACTGCCCAGAAGGATTGCCATGGTACAGCATACCATCGTCTACAGTCTAGGCAACCGATGTTGAAATCGGACCCTCTGGCACCTCTCTGTCCCCAGTTCGATAGTGCAACAGAGTCACCCCTGATGACGGTAGGAGGTCGATTGCAAGCTACAAAGAACATGCCAAGTGGCGTACGCCACCCAGTCATCCTACCAGCAAAGCACCGAGTAACCCAGCTGATAATCGAACAGGAAGATCATCGGTGCTTCCATGCAGTTGGGCCACAGCATCTTCTGGCCAATCTGCGACAACGCTACTGGATTGTTCACGGAACATCAACAGTCAAGGCCGTTCGAAGCAACTGCATCACTTGCCGTAAGAACCGTGCGGAGCCAGCGTCCCAGATGATGGGCCAGATTCCAGACTTCCGAGTTGCAGGCTCGTTGAAACCGTTCAGCCGTACAGGAGTTGATTACGCGGGTCCCTTCCTGACCAAGCAGGGCCGAGGTAAGACGCAAGCTAAGCGGTACCTGTGCCTGTTCACTTGCCTTGAGACTCGTGCCTGTCACCTAGAGGTATCCTATGGCCTCTCCACTGAGTCATTCCTGTTAGCATTTGAGAGATTCACAAAGCGCCGTGGTGTCCCGCTTGAAATGGTCAGCGACAACGGGACCAACTTCACTGCCGCGGAGCGAGAACTCCGTGAGGCCGTCCGGGCCATGGACAAGGAGAAGATCGAGAAGCGACTGGTCAGTGATGGCGTGCGATGGCGCTTCAACCCACCTAGAGCACCACATTTCGGCGGCGTATTCGAATCCCTCATCAAGACGGCTAAGCGCGGACTCACAGCAGTACTTGGGAAAGCGGACGTCACAGATGAAGAGTTAGTGACTGCCATGTGCCAGGTTGAGGGCATGATGAACTCGCGCCCGCTGACAGTTGTAAGTGCCGATGCAGCTGATTTGCAGCCTCTAACACCAGCACATTTCCTCGTCGGACGACTCGACCCACCAATGGCTCTGGAAGTGAAAGCAGACGAGCACCCCAGCAGAGACCCACGCAAACGTTGGTTGTATGTTCAGCGGCTTGTAGCAGACGTGTGGAACAGGTGGCGAGATGAGTATGTTCCCTTGTTGAATGTCCGTCGTAAGTGGCAACGTCAAGGTCGCAATGTAGCCGTAGGTGACATCATGCTGTGTCTTACATCAAACACTCCCCGTGGAACATGGCCCATGGGTAGAGTCACAGCAGTGCATCCTGGTGCAGACAAGCTCGTCCGAGTAGTGGATGTTAAGATCGGCGACAAGATCTACCGACGGTCTATCCACCATCTAGTACCTATTCTGGACACCGAGTAGTTTGTGCCTTGTGTATCTGAAGTGCTACAGGCAGCCCTGTGACAGTACTCTCTCTCTATCTCTCTCAACCTATGAAGTTTTTCTTTCATCATACAGTACCGTAGTAGTACTCACTCGTCACAGTTTGTTTGCTGACCCTGTGCTCGTGAGTGAAGGGGGATATGTTCTGGAATATTCCCAGCTTGTGGTGAATCTTGCATGACCTTTCATTGTACTCAGGTTTCATTCCTTTTATTCTAGTGCATGCTGCTGGCGCCTGATGTATTGACTATTGTTACCGCAGGCCAGTCTCAACCTTTGCATTGTCTGAGATTCAAGTAGCGTATCGTTTGATGCATGTGCTGTCTCCATGCTATCTAGTCGTAATATATTCACTCGTCTTTGCATTTGTGCACAGTCCTGTGGATACTCGCAGGCCCTGTGGATACTCGCAGGCTGCGATTGCGCTCTCGCTTTGGTCATTCTAGAATGTATACTTCCATGCCTTTGAAGTTTGTTAGTTGTTAGTTTTGAACTGTAGGAAGCAGTTTACAGTTTTGGTTCTTGCAGTTTTATCTCAGAGGAGAAAGTTCTTGGTCTCATACTGTTACGAGTTGCTGTTGTATCTGGTTGAACGCATGCCGGGGCAACAGAGGGCAGCATGAGTAGCCAGTGGTATAGCTCTATACTGCCACAAGTCACTACAGGTACGACGGAGGCTGGACCTGCAATGCCAAGGTTTGGAACTTCTGTGGAAATTGGTCTGGGTGTATCAAGCGCTCTGCTTGGTTGTGGATATCGTCCACCTCAGCGGCCAGTGGCCTATTGGAATGATTTTGAGCAAGCTCTGGATCAAGCATGTGCTGGCCGCCAGCAGAGTACAGTTATTTTGGGAGACTTCAATTTTTTTGTTTTTTTGTTTTTGTTTTGAATGACGTATAGTTTCGATAGTGAGGAAAATGTTATCAACTCCAAAGCAAGAAAAAGGCCAAAAACTAAACCAAGAACATATGCAATAACATGTTATTTATAAAGACAGGACAAGTGAATAATTAGTCAGTCCATTGTTCATGATGATCTCCGACGGTTACGTCGGCAAGCGAGCCTCCGCCACTGCCAAAGCAGCGTGGGCTCCGCAGGAGGGTGCAAATTTCAAACCAAAATTTAAACGCCTACAACCGCGAATGCATATGATACAGGATTTCAGAAGGCTGAAGGAAATCCTGCATCTAACAAATGCCATAACATGAGAGTAATGCTCACCCCTCTTCTCCGCCAACAGATGAGCAATTCGTTTGTACAGTGCTGTTGATGCTGGACCCATTCCGCCACTGGCTGACATGACCGCCGGAACAAAGGAGGCTTGCTCAACCTGCCTCACCCGCTCCTCATAGTGCCTTCTCTTTTCTTTTTCATGTCGCTGATACACAATAGTATGTGGTGCAGATCGATTTGAGCGTGAGTGAGGATTAAAAACCCGTATATCAATAAGTGTACGCTCAAAACGACTGCCCCACAAACCATTGGCAGCGACATCCAATCGGGCACGGTCTTCCACATTTGCGGTCCGGTAGCGAAGACGCTCCCCCGTCAGCGGTTGCAGCAAGGGCTCGATGGACACACTGGTGCACACCTCGTCCAACAGCCGGGCCGTGACGTCCCGAATACCATTGTGTCTAATGGAGGGAAACCCTCCATAGGGGCACGACGGGGAATGCGCACAGTTGCCTCTTGGCCGCAAGAGCAGTGTGACGGTACCCTGGCCGGTGTCCATCCGTAACGGAGGCAGAGTCCGTCCCAAAACTCTCCCTTTGTTAAATTAAAATGATATTTCTTAAGTGGACGGCACGTCAGCCAGCTCGACGACCCTTTCTCCTTCGCGACGTCTATGACATGTCGTAGCGACTCCGACGCACTGCCCGATATCGCGTCGAATTCCAGTTTCTGATGACGTCGAGAAGATGCCTTGGCGTCTCTCTTGGCCGATCTGATTAACACTACCGAGTCACCGATGGAGCTATCCCCTGACAAGATTCTCCGAGACAAAGGGTTGGTCATCCGAACCGACGAGTCGTATTGTTGGCATAGGGACACAGGGTTAATCAAACCAAGCCCACCCAGACGACACGGCAAAGCCATAAGCCGTCGGAGGGTGTCGCCTGGGGGTGCACGGCAAGTTAAGGCGGGAATCAGTTCAGACTTCACAATGTCCTCCAGCGGTTGGAACATGGGTTCGGGTACCTTCATGGTACGACAGAGGAACGCCCATCTACCCCTGAGGCCCGTCACATACGCAGAATACGCAGCCTGCGGCTGGGTTTGTGCAAATACTGCTAGCTTCTTCAGTTCCCCCATCCATTCGTCCACCTTTGTTTTGATATACTTGAGTAGCTTTGAAGAAAGCTGTCCCTTCCGATTGCTGCGCCAAGATATCGTGATCCCTCGTCCGTTATCATTACACCAGTGTCTCGAAACAATTCAGTCGCCTCCTGGTAACACCTTTCCTTGACGACAAGGACCGATTTCTTTGGGTTGACGTAATATCCATATGCCAGTCCTCTCTTGTCCATTATGTCCCACCATAGACGGAGTCTGCGAAGACGAGCAGCAGTGGATGAATCGTCCGCGAACCATGACTGCACCGCACCTGCCTCATCCGCCAAACGTATCAAGGGCATTATTCCCAACGCGTACATGTACATTGCAAGGGGATCACCCTGTGTTGTCCCTTCTTGCGACAGGATACTTTAAATTGACTGGCCCAATTTCAATCAGGACCTGGCAGCAAGGCTGAGTACTACCGATGCCCATAGTTATGATGACATGGCCTCAAACTTTATTGAAGGAATCCATGATGTGCTGGACCGGCAAGCCCCATTGGTTGCAACCAGGAAGGACAGGCGGCCATGCCCATGGCTCACACGTGAGCTGGTACACCTGGTCCGGGAACGCAATTGGCTTCATCGCTTATGGATGCAAGACCGTGGTAATGAGCAACGTCGAGCTGCTCACCGTACAGCACGTGCAGCTGCCAGGAAGCTAGGTAGATCTCTGCGGAACTCCTATTTCATCCGCCAGTGTGCCGCAGCCAATCAGCGACAGCTATGGGCCATTATGAACAATGTTACCGGCCGGAAGACACAGCGGCAGACTCCAGAGGCGCCCATCGAAACCCTGAGTGCTTTCTTCGGTGAGATTGTGCATGATCCAGCCCGACCAGCTGCACTTCAGGCGCCCCATGGCCCCTTACAACAAACAGCTTTGACGTCCTTTCAACCTGTCAGTGTGCAAGACGTTGAGCAATGTCTGGCCTGCGTCAACCCGCACAAAGCTAGTGGCAGTGACTGCATTCCTGGTATTGTTTTGCAGTGCTGTGCCAGTGTTCTTGCTCCTCATCTTGCTAGAATCATTAATATATCGCTCTCAAGTGGTACTGTACCCACATGCTTCAAACTGTTATATGTTAGCCCTTTGTTCAAGAGCGGGGACACTGCAGTCGCAGGAAACTATCGGCCAGTCTCTTTGCTGCCTATTGTGTCTCGTCTTCTAGAGCACTGTGTCAAGAAGCAGATCATGGCCAATCTCCAGGACCACCATCTGCTACCGGCGTCCCAGTTTGCCTACCGCAAGTCCCACTGAACGGGAGACGCTCTGGTTCTTGCAGTGAATCGCTGGCTTTTGGCACGATCTCAGCGCCAGCATACTGGTGTGATTATGGTGGACATGTCAAAAGCCTTTGACAGAGTACAACATCAGCGTCTCATCACAGTACTTCATCAACATGGCATTGGGGGCACTGTTCTGTCGAGTTACCTGAGTAATCGGAGGCAGCAAATATAGGTGGCTGATATTCTGTCGGCACCTGTGGATTGCTCCAGAGGTGTTCCTCAAGGTAGTGTACTTGGGCCATTGCTATTTGTCTTATACACAAGTGAGCTGTCTGCCATACTGCCAATGCAAGTAAGTTACCAGGAGTTTGCTGATGACATTGTCCTCGACTTCTCTGACTCGGATAAACACCTTGTGTGCAATGTTCTCTCAAGTGCTGTCTCGAAACTTGCTGATTGGCTGTGCAGTATTGGACTTGTTCTGAACTCTGGCAAAACGCAAGTGTTGTTCACCCAGCCCCATGCCCGTCTCAGTGCCATGCCTGGTATTTATTGCAACGATATCCGTCTGTCAGTCACCACAACGGCTAAGTACTTTATCCGAAGACTCAGTTTGCGTATTGGAAGTGTCACTCGACAAAGGATGCACTTGTGCTTGCCGTCAACAGGTGGGTGTTTGCACGCGCACATCGCCGCTTCACGGGCATCGTCATGGTAGATATGAGTAAAGACTTTGATCGGGTGCAGCATGAACGACTCATCTCTGAGTTGCACTCCCTTTGTATCTCATCTAGTGCTCTACAATGGTTTTGTAGCTATCTGACTGAAAGAAGTCAACAAATTCGAATTGCAAACTCAGTCTCCTGGTCAGTGCATTTTTCCCGTGGTGTGCCACAGGGCAGTGTACTTGGTCCCTTGCTATTTGTTCTATACACGTGCCACTCCTGCCTGAACAAGTCATCCACCAAGAGTTTGCGGATGACATCATAATTGTTAGAGTTCTCCGACAGCGATCTCAACACTGTGTGCCGACAGCTTAGTGCAGCTGCCACTTCTGTATCACGTTGGCTTGGTGAAATCGGGCTGTTGCTCAATGCGAAGAAAACGCAAGTCATGGTCATCGAGCCCCGTGGACAGAGAGCTGCCATTCCTGATGTATTTTATGGTCAGGACGCACTCAAGGCTACCCTTACTGCCAAGTACCTTGGGGTGGTCATTGATTGCGAACTGTGATGGAAGCAGCATGTGGACAACGTGACTAAGTGAACTGCCCAGACCATTGGTCAGCTCTGGCGCCATGGTCGTGCTCTAAGTTTATCAGCCAGACGGTCGAGGTTCATTAGCATGATCAGCAGCCATCTCTGCTATGCGTCTACGGCTTTCTATCCTTGCCTCACAGTGCAGTTGTTGGAT